CCCACAGCCATCCCATTATACCCCAGCAAATTGAATCCAGCGCTAAATTAAAAAAAATTAGTCATGTGTGTAATGGAAATGATTTATCACGTCTACAGTACTTAACTGAAACGGATTCTGAAAACATGAAGCATAGTAGACTCAAGCTTGCGTTTTCTCCTCTATATCAAAGGCATCCTGAACATGCTGACATTGGATGGAGGACATTGTGAAAAAATGTAGAGATGTGAAGTATTGGCAGTAAAATATCTCAACTGAGAAATGCAGGGTTTATAAATACATTTAGGTATACAAACATAGAGAGGACTAGTTTTTGTCAAAAGTTTATTTTTTAAGGAATCTTCTTCTTTTAAAGAAAGCTAATTTTTTCTGCTTTTTCCATAAATGTTCACCTCATTAAATCAGAAAACTCTCTGTGTTAGGATGGCTATGACTGCAAGATAGTTTTCACAGTGATTGGGGGGTGTTCCTTAAGGAATACAGAGAATCCATCCATCCGTTTTCCATCACGCTTTATCCCAGCAGGGGTCATGAGGGGTGCTGGTGCCTATTTCCAGCTGTGGTCGCCAGTCCATTGCAGGGCAACATAGAGACAAACAGGACAAACACACTCACACCTAAGGAGAATTTAGAGAAGCCAATTAACCTAACAGTCATGTTTTTGGACTGTGGGAGGAAGCCGGAGTACCCGGAGAGAACCCACGCATGCTCAGGGAGAACATGCAAACTCCATGCAGAAAGACCCCAGTCTGGGAATCGAATTTAGAACTTTCTTGCTGCAAGGCAGCAGTGCTACCCATTGCGCCACAGCATCTAAAAATGTGTGGAAAGCTCATTTTAAATTCAATTTTATTTTATAATTCAAATATAGCAGTAAATACACTATCAATCTATAAAATGCACATTTAATAATAAAACAATTTCAATAAGTAAGTAAGAATACATTTAAAGGGATGAAATAAATGTAACATTACAAATGGATATTATTATAATATAAAATACAGAAGAGCTATATGTGTATATATTTGATCTTTTTTATTTTTATCTTTATTATCTTGTGTACTTGGATAATTGTATATATATATAACACTGTAATTGGAGCGTGTAACAAAAGTAATTTCCCTCTGGGATTATTAAAGTATTTCTGATTCTGATATCTAATTCTGATATAAACATATATGAAGAGAGGGAGACACGACTCATTATTGATATTTTTAGGGGTAGGAAAGCTGTTGTTATTTCTGAGGTCATGTGCTGAAAGGTTTGGGGAACCCCTGTCCTACAAATCATTATGATCATGACATTACATCACATTTGTGTTATCAAAAAGTGCTTCATTATTTGTATTGATATAAAAAAAACTCAGAAAAACTGAATTTTGGCTTTTTAATGAAAATCACTTTGTGGTTTCTCAAATAGTGCTCAAACTAACGATGATTTTGGAAATACATTATTGTCGATTATTTTTTCATTTAATTGATTATTAACCAGAGAGCCAAAGGTTCCTTATAGAAGACATTTTATGCTATGATAGCAGGTGGAAGTAGAACTTTTCCACTTGAGGAGTTTTGGATAGAGCATATTGACAGACGAAAAAGCTTTTTTTTGATAAATGCAAAATGTTTATACATTTTATTGGTAAAATTGCTGCTCTAACTGGGTCCCTCTGTCAGTTTAAGACACTTTTTAGAGCCTCTACACTCCAGCTAACGATTAATCGATTACTAAATTAGTTAACGACTATTTTAATAATCGACTAATCACGATTAATCATAATGATTGTTTTAAGCCCTAATCTCAGTGGTTGTGATAAACCTCTAAGCTTAACGTTTTTAACTGAATTACTCAAATAAATACATTTTTCACAGATATTTTTATCTATTGAGCTCCATATGTCTATTATCCTGTGTTGTACTGCAATGAGAAATGTATACCACCAAATATTCAATATTGGAATCCAAACATTTATATCAGCAACCCGGCAAAACATCCATGTCAGCTGTGGTCAATATTAACTTCTCTGAATTCTTCTGAAATCCAGCATTGATGTATAACCAGAATTCAGCGGCATGCCAAAATAAATCCCCAGCATCTTCATCTCCTGGCCCGTTCTGCCCAGCAGGCAGACTGTTCATGCAGATCAGGCTCACCGTGACAGCACAGCTAAGAGATGTATGTGGGATGAAAGATTGTCCTTATCTGGCGCAAATCATCTTCTGGCCGCCGGGGCCAGGGGGACCTACTTTGAACTTCAATCCGTGGACATCAAGGTCCAGCCAGGGGCCATGCAAACAGAGGCAGTTCTTTAGGAGTGAGGATGATGAGTAGTGAGTTTCACCTGGGTGCCCTCTCCCCCACCCCGAGTTAATATAAGAGCTCATCAGAGAAACCGCTTCTTTTTCTGGACCCAGCCTGGAGTCCAAGACCGGCTGAATTCAGGAGAAAATAGAAATACGCTTAAAATAAAAAAAGATAAATGCTTTGTGTTTCTGTTGCCGAATGACCAATTCTGATTTATTTTTAAAATATCATATCAGACTAAGTAACTAAGTGATGTTTGACATATACCTCACTTCCTTTGGACTAGAGATTAACTAACAAAGGTTTATTTAAGGCTGACCCCAAAATATGTGCTGCTAATGCTTTAGGCTGATGTTGCTGTCTATTCTTCATTCATTCACACAATAACAAAATGTTACAAAAGTCTATATTTCAACAAAAAACATACAAACAGTTTTCACCAAGTGGTCAGGAATGCGCTTTATGTGATGTCGAAGCATGGCTGCTGAAGTGAAGTAAGAAAGCACTAATATCAGCCGACCAATGTTCTGGTCTCTCTCTAATTTAAATACATCAAGAAAATTAAAACACAATGAATCAGTTTGGAAAAGCCAAACTTAAGGCTGATTTATACTCAGAAAGCAGGTTGTCTGCGTGTGTTTCGCATTAAATATATCATGTAATACATAAATGTGAATGTAACATGAAATAGATATATGTTAAATATATTTATTTATCTAAGACATGATTCAAACATTAAATTGCCATTAAGCTATTAAATACACAATAATGAAGTGTCCAATCTGATTTTAAAAACACATTTCAAATGATTAATTACATAATTGAATGCATTTTTCAATATTTAATAATTATTTCCCATTATAGTACAAATAAATATAGCTTGCAGGCTAAAATGTTTAGGAACAACTGTCCTAAATGTCTTATAGATAAATAAGTCCTCCTCCACAAATCACAAAAAATAGCTCTGAAAATAACATGTATTCTGTATTTGTCAGTTTATGGTTAATTCACCAACAATTAAAATGTCAAACTAGTGAAGACGTTCATCTTAAGGGTGTCGCTGCTGGCATGCTCTGGTTTAGAGGGGAAAAACCACATGGGAACGAGACATCACTATGTAAGGGTGACAATTTTAGAGTTACGACCTACAGTCTGCTGGAATGCTAACCAGCTAGCTATGCTTACTTAATGTTGATTGTTGGTTTTTTCAGCTGTTGCAACTGGTGACAGGAAGCTTATCAAAACTTGTTTTAGGCTGCTCTTTTCTACCCATAGTATGAACTCAGCTAAAACTGGGTCGGCTGGTCAAAGCATTACTAGTGCAGATCAGATTTTGGTTGGGTTTTTAATCTGAGTATTTCTTCTAAAGGTCTACATCCAAGTTCCTAAGCTTAACGTCGTAGGGAAGCGGCTGTTCCAACAGTTGCATTTCCGAATTCTACCGAGTGATGCACTACTTTACAAGAGTGAATAAAGTGAATGTGATTGGTCATTTATAAAGGGGACGGGAACGTTGTGGCGAAAGGTTCACAAGCCTATTTGGTTGTGGCCGGTGTCTTGGAAGCATCTTGCTAACCAGTTAGCAACTTAGTGCTAGTAGGTTCCCAATGGGAAATTCCATTGGGACCAAGTAGCACTAAATTGGTGACTTAGAAACAACACTGTCAAGGAACGCTATGGACAGAGGAAACATGCAAGAGGAGGAGAGTTTAGTGTTTTATTTAGTGGAGGAAAGCGGGGACGAAGTTGTTGTGGAATAGGACGCCAGGGCGGCAGAAGCTTGGTTTGGTGTAGAAGGCTTCCAGCCGTACATGTTTGAGCCCTTGCCTCAAAACGCTGCCAGTTCTGTTAGCTCTACGCCTGCTGAAGACACAGACGTCCATCCCCGTGAACACTGGGACGGAACTCAATGGGAAAGGAAATGATTTTTATTTTTTATTTCAACCATTGCGACATATGATTTAAGATGCTATGACCGAAAAAATTTGACTGACAGATGACCGTTGAAATATGATTGGCTGAATGTAGGTGTTCAGGCTGACGTATAGCTAACTGGCCTGCATAAAATAACGGGTAAAAAAAAAAAGATTTTAAGACAGGATTTTTTTTTAATACAAATTTTCTAACTTTTGGGAGAATATAGTCTGATAAAGAGTACATTTATATGCATGTTTAAGCCAGAATGACTTGACATTTAAATATGATTTTCCTATGACTTCAGGAAGAAAATACATATAATTAAAAATAACCACCGTTTCTCTCTGACATAGTAAGCATTAGAAAAAGGATAAAATAGACTAAATAGAATCCGATTAGACTGCAAATTAAAAAAAAAATAAACAAACAGGAGCTGAGATTGACTCAAAACACATTTAAACATAAAAGCAAATCTCGCCGCTAACTTTAAAAGTACCTGTGCCACAAGTGCAAGTAATCAATATGAAAGGAAATGTATTATTCACAGTGTTGTGTGTGGGGATGCATGTGGTGGACTTTCCAGCAGTGCTGCATTAAAGCAACAATCACAAACAGACAGCTGCACTCCCAGGGGAGTCTACAATCAGCCTGTGCAGAACTGCTGCTGTCCTTCAACAGGCAATTATCACCGAGTCCATTATAGCTCCCAGGGGATCTGCTGGCCAGGGAGGCCAGAAAAGGCATCATCTGAAAGGTCAGAGTCTGCAGAGAGAACAGGACGCTCAAGCCTGCAAGCGGGGAAGACAAGGAGGAGGGTGTGAGCTGCCGGAGAACAAATGGAGTGTAAAGCAGGAGCTATTTGTCACCACCAGCTATTCCCCAGGGGGAGGTTGCATTATTTCCCCTGGACAGAGGCATATGTCAGCAACAAGGGGGATGAGTTAAAAAAGCCACTCTGACTACAGTATAACTGCAGCCTTTGCAGACACCTTGGGATACGGCGGATCTGCTCCAAGTTCGACAATCAGATCAGGTATGTTTCCCCCCGGTCAGATCAGTCACAGCTCATAAATGTTTCAACTCCTCTACTTCATGTTTCTACTGATCCTTGTAAACAAAGAGAGGAATTTGTTCAACTAACCTGCTTCCACTGTGGAGAGATTATTCAACGCGGCCTTAAAACCAACACATTTCACACCAGGTCCGAATATATCCCTAAAACCATCCAGGTTTAAGCTTTCAAGTCTGTATTTAGAGGAAAGGAGAAAACCAGAGAGCAAAACACACAAGACTTTGTGAGTCTTTGGGGTAATTTTGTTACAGTGAAGAGAAAAAGAAACGCAGCTCAGAGCTGAGAACTTGGAAGGGCTACAATTGGAAGCTTAACTACATCACCATCGGGGCACCAGGGAAAATCCATTCTTGGCTGGGATGACTGCCACTGCTAAGCCTGCAGTTTAGAACCAGAATCTGCACTTTGTCTCTGGAAACTCCCTGAAGAACCGATTATTAAGCAGGTTATTGAATTAAAGAGTATAAGGCTTGGAAAAGACAGAAAAGGCTAAGTAAAGTGTTAAGATGTCATTTATGTTTATCGTGGCTGGAATGTATTAAAAGTTCTCTGCATAAACTACAGTTAAAGGCACAACAGAAAATTGTTCGTTACAAAAAAATTTTAACACCTGGCATTCCTACACGAGGTCCATTTTTAGAGACGTGCTGATTGATTGGTTGACACTGTTAGGAATCCAGTTTGTGTGGGTTGTGCTTTTGTTTGTCTTGCCTCAACCACCAGGTGGCGCCTGGTTCTCGTTGGCCTCCTCACACACCTGTGGATGGTTACCCTAATTACCAGAGGACTCTTAAGCTGCTGACTGCCACTACAGTACCTCAACGCCAGAGTGTTTGCCAGTTTTGGGTACTCTAGCCAAGCAGAGTTTTACTGAGTCAAACTGAGTTTTTCTCTACCTGAGTTTAACCTTGTTGTTTTGTCTTTGCCTCTCTGCAGTAAGTCAACCTGCAAACTGGATGTTTTGGACCTTCTCCCCCCTGGAAGGATTCTCTGAGCACCAAACTGAGCTGAGGATTCGAGCTTGTGGTTTGGATCTACTTTTCTCCCAAGGATTATATGGACGTCTCACTGAGCAGGGGATTCATCTTCACAAGTACCGTTTAAGTACCGCAGGAAAATTAATTGGCAGTCAGCTCCTCCGTTCCACAAGGAAACACCGCAATCTGGGTAAACCCTGTCCGCCCTCCAACGAGCAAGTCATTCACTGGAACAACCCCCACCGGCTAAATTCAACTAGAGACACCTTTTTCTGTAAACGTGAGTCCGCAGCCTTAATTCCCTTCTTCAAATCTAAGACACAAATTTCTCACTGAGCCCACTGTTGAACTTTTCCCTGGTCTCTCTGTTTGGTCTTCTGCATGTGGGTCAGAGCCTTAGATAAAATCATGACAGACAAAAGGAATCAGATGATAAGCCAGTCGATTGTTCATGCTGAAGCGGTCATCAGTGTGGAAGTTGTTACTGTAGGAAGAAGGCTGAGGCAACTAGCTTTTATTTTCAAGGTTATAAACTTAAATGATGTAATCTGTCAGTCTGCCATTTTTAAATAGGGATGGGTGAACAATTCTGTGAAATTCTTTAAAACGTCATCAGGTCAGCGGGCATTTTGTCAAAGGCTAGTTAAGACACTTTGGCTGTTTCTCAATCCATAGCATGAGTACGGACTCATGTTCTCCCCAAGTATGTTCTTAAGACGAACACTGGAAAGTGTGGACTCTGGGAGAACGGGAGCACGCAGCATATATATGCGTCAATTGGAACAGAATCGTACTGATGACATAACCACAGGCTCGGCTCCTCTGGAGCTGCATTTCAGTCTCTAGAAAATGATAAATTCTGACTTTACACAAATCAAATGAACATTTTGCCAAATGAAACATAAACATCACAATCAGAGGCAGTGGTACTTAACACATGGCTACGCAGAGAGAGGACTGCTGCTAAAATTAGCCCTGGCTGCAGTCCTCTTAGCATCTGAACTTTTTTTTAAATTATGCACTATATCAGTAAATGGGCCAAATAGTGACGCTTAGAAGTATAATTTTCTCACCTTAAATTATCTTAAAATGCACTTTTATTGAACAACAGCAACAGAAAAGAGAACTTTTAACCTAATACTCTGAGCTCTGTGAGCGCTCCTTTGAAAGCTGCTGCTGCCGCAGTGCATGCTGGGACAGCTGTCAATCTCAAGAACGGACAAGTCTGCCGATGCATGCTGGGTAAAAAGGAAGGGACAGCAACAACATCCGTGGATTTTGTCCGTTTTCGGTCTGCTGTTCTTGTGAAATGGAACAGTACTAGGGCTGAGGCTGGTGACGTTTCACGAGTACACGAGAATGCACAAGTACACGGATTGCGAAACGGCTATCATTTCTCTTAGTAGAGACATATTTTTATTTTAAGGGTACAAAGTGAATAAAAATGCTAAAATAATTAGTTCTGAAAGCACCAGAGCAGACATGGTCAAAAATGATGAGTTTGACACACAGACTATGTGTGTCAATGTTTTTAGTTAGCATTGGTAATCATGCTAATACTAAATTTGCATTTTGGTAAATGTTGAACTTGTTCTTATTTGATCAATGTAAGAGGCGCCCAGAGGAAAGGAGGTATGTTTTTGTTCTGGTGTTGGATCACCACTCGTACGCTTTACTTCACATTTTATTTTGTATAAGTGTTCACATATTTCTCTCCTTCATAGCACATTTGTAATGGGTAATGGTAAGAGTTCTAACACCGAAATCCCACATCCTTTGTTACCGCCCCGCTCCGCCCTGCAAGCCTACAGCCTCTGATGTTCCTCACGTCCTGCTCTGCTCAGACTTCCTCAGAGATTGAGGAAAGCATGCGCGATGTTATTAATCATTAAACTTGTAGGAGCAAAACATGCGCAAATGAACACTTCATTTAATATGACATATTTAAAAAAATCCCCAGCATATCTGCAGTTTCTGCCCTAATATTTTCTTTTTGTTGTGGATTTTTGTAACTGGGATAACTATGAACTATGTTTGTTCTCTCTTTCCAAATTCAGCATCTCTTCATCCATGCCTGTGACAATGTTTGTTTTGAAATTGTCAGATGCGCACGACAGTGCCTAGATGGATGAAATGCCTCTCAGTATGAAATAAATATTTTGAAATAAATATTTTTGACATAAATATTTTGATGGAGATGAGAAATCTGCTTCCTGGTCTGTTGAAGCACCAATAGACTCTTTGCACATAACATCATGACGACACTTCCGGGTTTGTTGAAGCGGGTACCCGGTTACCGGTATATGCACTTATAGCGACAAGACCTAAGCAAAGACCTGAGCAAAGAAACCTGAGCAAAGAGGTTTGACATGAGTCTTAAAAAGGACCACTTTCATTTTAGCAAGCAACAGAAGCTATACCATGAACACTGTTGTGTGCCGCTGTGTTTGGCATCATCCAAATATAATGGAGTGTTGAGCTTTCACATGTTTCCCAGCGATTTAGAGTTGTGAAAGAGATGGCTAGTCAACATCCGCTGCGAACAGTTTGTCCCCACGCCCCATACGAAGGTCTGCAGCCTGCATTTCTTAAAGGTTTGAATCCAATCATTTATTTAGGCGCTATTATATTTTCAAATAATGGAACCCCAAGGGAAAATATATAGGTTAGCAATAGATCCCCAACACCAACACACACTGATGCAACACCAGAAACATTAAAGCTCATTGATTAAATAAGGATATTAGAAGAACACGATCAATAGAGCTGATCAATAGAACCTGTGAATCAGTGTGTTTTTGCATAAACAGGAAATAGAATAGATGGACCAAGTGTTGAAGGCGTGGTGGAATCAGTGGATGATAATGTGTAAAAGTTGATCAATAAACTCATGAAAATGCATTAATGCCGTGTGGAGATTAGACAAACTATTGGTAAATGATTAGATTATGGATAGGGTCGGGACTTTAACACATTATATATGATTAAATAATCACATAGACTTTATTGCACTGAAAAAATGAACAAAATTAATTGCATTTGTTTCTCACATACGAAAGTCCAAGCAAGAGGCTTTGTATTCAGTTTTTTATACACGGTTAATCTCACATCCCAATCACAGTCCACTGGGCGTATTCAAGCTTAATAATCATCTCAGTGCAACAGAACTAATTCAGACCGCATGCAGCAGAAGCAGCAAAAACACCCATGCTGCTTCATATTTGATGCTTGTACAGGTTAAGTTCTGACACGCGGCTGAAGCATCTTTGCTGCTCTAGCTGCGCTGTCGAAAAGTGGATCTGATGCATGTTGGGTGGAGCTACCCCATCTTTCTTTGCCTGTAACAATGGTGGATAAAATCGATAGAGTGGGTTGGCTGATTTTATTGAATAATGCTACGTTCAGACTACTACCACTGGAAGCAGCAAAAAAAGCTTTATAACATTAAGGTCAGACGTCCAGTAAAGGCTGTCCAGATGCGTCTGATGGTCTAAAAAGTAGTTTTAATACCGGTATGTTTTTAAGTGAGAAAGTCCCCCTTAAAACTTTATCTGTGCAGTCAGTTCATCAAAATTATCAGACTCCTGTACATCGGCAGTGCTGTCACTGGGAATCCCGTTCAACAGCAGTCTCTGGCCTGTTCGCCTCTGTGCGGTTTTCCAATCGAACATATTTTGCCTGCAGGTTTCGACATTTTAAGTTAATTTAGGCATTAATAGACTGTTTCAGAGGACTGATCATAGCTATCTGCATCTGCAGATGTCCCACTGGCAGGGAGACAGACACAGCCAGATCAGCTTCTCTGACTGGTTGATGTGGCGTGTCCAGCAACAAAAGTTACATTTTTCCAACACCAGCAGCTGCTGCGTCTGATGCTAATAAGCTCATGATGCGTTGCTTCAGCGGCTAAAAATGCGCTGAAGGAACTATTGCTTCAACTTGATGCGCTTCAACAATTGACCTTGCATGTAAAGTAGCTGCTTCTGCTGCTTCTGCGGCGTGAGGTCTGAACGTAGCATTACATTATAAATTTGTGAATTCCTGGATGACTTCTTGACACAACAGTGACTTAGAGCTTCTCAGCAAGGGAATCCCAGTAGACTGATGAAAGGCCCCATGGTGTTTGTTACAGACGTAACTCTCAGGTGGGTACTGACCCAACTTTCATCATGTTAGGACCTGGACCTGCACGGAGCGCAAGGAGTTATATTAATGTTTCTGCAACGCCAATGTTAGCCATCCTACAAAACTAAACAACTCCCGATAGAGAGGGTTAAAACAGGAATTGTTTGTTTTAGTGACAAGCTAATGCAGAAAAAGTATCCTCAGTTTATATATGTTTCAATTGCACTAAAAGCTGCATGTTAAACGGTAAAAGTTAAGCTCTAAGAAGCGAGGCTTTATGCTCAGGTCAACTGTCATAGTTTTGTTGTCAGTATTAGAAATATAACTTTAACTTCTGTTTAAAGCAGAAGTAAAACTCTAAAGGGTAATATAAAGAATAAACCAATCTGATGGTTGAATGACCTGAAATAAATACAATAAATATTTGTGCTGCTGTGCTCATATGCTTATTTATTTAATAAATCAGGAGCAAAAATGAGATTTGAAATGAAAAAGTTGTTTATTTCGTAGAATTAATAATAATATATATTTATTTTTTAGTAGCTAAAAAAATTGAGAGAGGATGGTAAGGTGCATGACTATTGATCCAAAACCATTTACACTTATATTTTATTTCTTTATGTTTTGTTCGTTTTCTGTTAGCTTCTAGTTAGTTTGCATTAAAAAAAAGCAGAGCTCAGCAGAAAGTGTTGCTCTTTGCTTCACAGTGCAAAGAATCTTATCTTTCATCGGCATCTTCAGATCTACAGATGGCAGAGATGTCTCTGCTCGGAAAGTCAGGGTGGTACAATGTTGCAGTGGAGTGCTGAGCTGCTAATTTGCAGTGCTGGCCAAGAGAACTGCGTCTCAGTCCAAAAACAACCGTATGGACCCTAAAAGTTGGCACAGCTCAACTCCTGGCTGGCCGGCATCCCTGCCATCATCTGCTGGAAAGCTATGATTTCAAAAAGAGTTGGTTTAAATGCTTGTGTAATGGCAAAAACAGAAATTGGGTGACTTGTGGTTTGCATTAAACTTAGCAATCTCAGGCCTGTTTCAGTATTGGTTTCTCATGTTATGAAAACCTTTATTAAAATGTTCATCCAAAACACTCACTACAAAAAAGTGGATTCATTTGCTTTACCGTCAAAC